TGCATAGCCTGCTTTTGTACCTGCTGTTGTACCTTACCTACTTATCCTAAACTGCTTAGCATAGGTTGGATAGTGATCCATCAGTGACCTCCACCTTGTGCTTATTGCCCCTGCTTCATCATCGACGACTCAAGCTACATGATCGACGACCAGAGCCCGACACCGCACATCACATCACGCCCCTTTTGTTGCTCGACTCTGTAGAGCTACTATCGAGTGCCGAGGGTGATCCCTCATAATGCACTCCTGATGATAATTCTGTAGTGTAGCTATTCGGTCGTGGTCATCGAGGGTGATTTCCTCTTTCACCATTCCCGATACGGCTCTATCGTTCAACACCTCAAGTGTGAACCTCGAGGGTGGTCCCTCTTACGTTCACCTTGATGATTACATTGAGTGGAATCCTCCGGGGGTGATTCCTCGGGGTTTCCCCTTGATGTTTGGACACACGGTTACCTTGACATTACTTGAGACCTTTGGGAAAGCCGGGCGGGCCCTGAGAGCACCCGCAAGATGGTTACGAGGCACGGCCGGGAAGTCAGGCAGCCCTCGAGTGGGCTGGGCTTGCCCTTGCCGTATTTCCTCGAGACGGGGCGATGGGGTCACATTATCGTGAGTCTCTGCTCGTCTCCGCAAGCTAATAATACACTATGGTTTGGGTATTTGTTCTGAGTTGGCCTTTGGCCTTTACGCACTAACCACCACGCGAGAATAGTTATGGGCCTCGACGTCGCAGTATCAGCCGAAGCTTTGTTAGACGTCCAGTTCAGCATTGCGGCACGGCTGGGTCGGCACCCCAGAGGTGGTGCCTAGGTCCGCACTGCACGTAACGACCCGGAGTGCTATGGGCGATGGGCCCAGACCCCGGAGTGCTTAAGATGTAGACCGGCGGGGACCTCTCTGCTGAGCCTAGGTAGGGCTACGACGTGTTGATCTTCCGAGGCCGGGCATTGACCCTAGAAAGGTGTCTCCGGCCAGAGTGATCGAGCGTGTTGGAAAACGTGGTGCACCCCTGCAGGGAAGTTATCTATTCGAATACCGTGTCCACGGTAATGGACGTTCAGACTTATATCTTGATCTAATACAACTAGAAATGGATACTTAAGTTATGTGGCTCCGGGATTGCTTTCTCGTAGGGAGTCGAGGAAGGATCTCTGGGCGTTAATGCTACAACATGATTGTTAAATATAAACTGTTATTCTTTACTCTTCTACATGCTGCAAGATGCTTGGAGCTACGTGAAGATGCTAGTCTTCGATAGGCTAGGCCTTCCCCTCTATTCTGGCATTCTGCAGTTCAGTCCACAGATACATCCCTTCCATTTGATACCAATGCTTACTTAGTATAGAACTGATGCTTGCGAGTACTTTGGATGAGTACTCACGGTTGCTTTGCTACCCCTTTTCCCCTTCCTTCTTCTTTTCGGTTGATGCAACCAGATGGTGGATCCCTGGAGCTAGATGCCACCGCCGACGGATACTACTACATGGAGACCGTCGACGACTAGGAGTAGTTAGGAGGTCCCAGGCAGGAGGCCTTGCCTCTTCGATCATTGATTTTTGCACTAGCCTTCTTAAGGCATCCTTGTCTAACTTATGTCTATACTCAGATATTGTTGCTTCCGCTGACTCTTTTGTATCGAGCTTGTATTCGAGCCCTCGAGGCCCCAGGCTTGTAATATGAAGCTTGTATTGTTTTATTTGTGTCTAGAGTTGTATTGTGATATCTTCCCATGAGTCTCTGATCTTGATTGTACACATTTGCGTGTATGATTAATGTACGGTCGAATTGGGGGCGTCACAACCACGTTACCCAACACGCTTGATTACTCTAGCCGGACACATTTTTCTGAGTCAATGCCCAACCTCGGAAGATCAACATGTCGCAGCCCTACCTAGGCTCAGCAGAGAGGTCCCCGCCAGTCTACATTCAAAGCGCTCAGGGGTCTTGGGCCCATCGCCCTTTGCACTCTGGGTCGTTGTGCACAAGGGGATACTAGCACCACCTCTGCCTGGATGGCGCGATCTGGCCCGACCACAATGTTGAACTGGACGTCTGACAAAGCTTCGGCTGATACTGCGATGTCGAGGCCCATAACTACTCTCGCATGGTGGTTAGTGTGTAAAGGCCAAAGGCAAACTCAGAACAAATACCCAAACCTGTTAGTGCATTGGGGGCTCGCGGAGACGAGCAGAGACTCATGATAATGTGACCCCGTCGCCCCGTCTCATGGACTTGCGGCAATGGCCCAGAATGCCCGGCCGTGCCTCGTAGAAAACTCGCGGGTGCTCTACGGGCCCGTCCGACTTTCACATCAGCTCGCGGGTACCCCTCAGGGCCGACCCGACTTCAATAATGGTCTCAAGTTAAGTCCGGGTAACCAAGTGTCCAAAACATCAAGGGGGGAAACCCGAGGAATCACCCTCGGTGGATTCCACTTGATGTAATCATCAAGGTGAACGTGGGAGGAATCACCCTCGAGGTCCACACTTGAGAGGTTGCACGACAGAGTCATATCAGGAGTGGTCAAGGAGGAACCACCCTCGATGACCACGACCGGATAGCTACACCACAGAATTATCATCAGGAGTGCGTTACGAGGTATCACCCTCGACACTCGATAGTAGCTCTGCAGAGTGGAGCAACAAAATGGGCGTGATGCGATGTGAGGTGTAGGGCTCTGGTTGTCGATCACGTTGATCGAGTCATCGATGATGAAGCAGGGACAACAAGGACAAGATGGGGGTCACTGATGGATCACTAATCAACCTATACTAAGAAATTTAGGATAAGCAGGTTAGGTAACAATAAGCAAGTTATAAAAGCAGGCTATGCATCAAAATAGGAGCAATCAATTACAGTAGCAAAATGTAATGCAAGTATGAGAGAATGGAATGGGCAATATCGAAATGATCAAAGGGGGGCTTGCCTGGAAGCTCCGCTGAAAGTGAAGAAGGGTCGTCGTCGACGTAATCGATCACAGAGGCATCGACGGTAAAAAAAATTATTTTTTTGGTTTCGGCTTCGGTTCGGTGTTTGGCTTGTCGGTTTTTATGCCCACCCTCCTAGGAATTTTCGGTATAGGTATAGATATTAGAATAGACCCAAAAACAACCATATAGGCCCAAAAGCATGCGGCCCATGATGGCCGAACGTGCCACGAGCCGGCCCATATACTAATATACTAAAAGGGCACGGCACAACCCGTTAAGTAAGTAAATGTGCCGGCCTCCCCTAAAAAACTGAAAGTAAATGTGCCGGCCATGCCGTGCCAGGCAAGTTTAGACTTGGGCCGGGCCGGGCCGGCCAGGTGCAGGTGCGGGTCTTCGAGCATCTCCCCCAGAGAGAGAGAGAGAGAGATCACTCACCCCCCACCCCCCTCCCCCTCCGCCGCCGCCGCCGCCTCCGCCTCCGCCTCGATTTCGACTCCTTTCCTCTCCACTGCCCCTTCTTATACGGGACGTTCATGAGGCGCCCCCGCCCGGATCCAGCCCCCCGCCGTTCTTCTACCAGTGCTGCTGCTGGCGCCCACGCCGCACTCCCGTGCCGCCCGATGCCCGCTGCCAGCGGTGGTCAACCAGCCGGAGGAAGGTAACCCCTACCCCCAAACTCTATATTTCCTAACCCTAAAAGCCTTAATGATAATTTAGGTGACTTATAAGCTCGGTTATCTTATCGAGCCTTGCCTATAGTTAGGATGGGCAAACTAGCCCAGCCGAGCTAGGGTTTCGAGGCAAGGCATATTATTGGTTTGGTCCCCTTGCTTCCGACGGCAAGATTTTCATTGTTCTTCGTTTGGATTTTAACTTGACGATATACATTCATCACTTTGCCATGAGGTTGAGGTTACCAACTTCCCTCGAACTGGCTCAATTATTGATTTGCGTATGACAGTTTCCGGATAGACATATCTATGTATCTATTATTCTGCTTCAAGTGTTTGTTTTCTTTTAGCCAACACGTCAAGTGCTTTGAAGTCTTTGATCAAAATATGTTCAGTGCTTAGTACAAGAGAAGAGGGGATTCAAAAAGGAAAAAACATGACAGGCAACAACAAAAATCTGTTTTCTTAACAAAAATCGTAGTACATCAAGTGATTTGTTTAGTGTCATTGAATTTTTTTTCAAAAGTACAAGTCTCTGATCAAAATATGCACAGTACTGACAAGAGAAGAGCAGATTAAAAAATTATAGGAAAAAACAGGACACACAAGAGCAGGTCAACAGAAAAATCAGTCATTAGAGCTGATGTTTTAGCTGTAAAAGGAGTATGAAAGCTGCTATGGTCACTGCTAGCTTTTCACTCACCCCCACACTGCCTGCAGCACCTGCACGTCTTGCCATGGCGGTTCCTTGCTTTTGGCAGAAAGCTAGCCCATCAAGGCTAGGTGGGCTATTTCTGTTTGGGCAAAGGATGCAAGCAGCCCCTTAGATTTTTGTATTATCTTAATGCCTTATCGCTAGCAGATTTGTTTTCTTGCTGTCATCTCAGCTAGTTTCTCACTCTCTTCATAGGTTAGTTGAGGTGTTTGATGTCACTAGGTGTCTTTCTCTGTACACGGCTTTCATTATTGATTCATCAGTTTTGGGCTTTTGCTGTGAAGTTACTTGTATTTTAAGATACCAGGCTAGCTTATATATTATAATTTATTATAATGTCAATGTCAATATAGTGTCCAGTATAATGGTTTTTACAACCATGCTCTACTTGTTGTAAATGACATTGTTTCATCTACTCCAGGGTAGGGAAGATGCAGAGCGAAGAGGCAAGCACATAGGTTGCTTTAACAAAAAGCAAAATGCTAGCAGAACAGAACTTATGCAACGTGAGTCTTCATACTTCTATTGCCCCTGCAAGTATTTTTACACAGCCAAACTGTTGTAGCACTCACAATTGTTTACCTGTACCATGTTTCTTTAATTAACTAGGACCTATCCATCCAGATATTACATTTGAAGATGGATTTGGTAACTTGGTTAAATCCTGTCAAAGTTCCTCGAGTGAACGCACCAAACAGATTGAGTCAGAACTATCAGAAAGTTTTGTCTCCCTTGCTTCATTTGTTGGTAATTAATATTATCATATGCCCATTATTTTCCATTAATTTTCTGAGTACCCCTTCATTGTTGCAACCACTTAATTTTCAACTGACATGTCGTGTTTCTTTAAACAGATGGTACGCATGTGATTAACTCTTTTGAAGAGGAATTTGAGGATAATACCTGGAGCACACTCAGTGAAAATGTTGCTTTAACTATGTCTGAATGTGTCGTCTCACTTGCTTCATTCAATGGTGATTTTTGTTCGTCGTATTCTCGCTTTTATTTTAACTTATTTCCCCGATTATTATTGACCAAATTATGATGTGTGCAGGAAATTCAAGGTGTTTTGCTTGCACAGGCGTATATATAAACTGTAATCCCGTGAGAATCCTTACTACAGCAAGTTTGGTTAAAACTTCTGGCGATGGAAACAAGATTGATGATAACTTGCGGGTTGGTATTGGCAATGCGCATCATTGTTTGTGCCTTTTGTTTGTCCGTTTATGACACTGGTTTAACCTTATCATTGCAGATTGAAGTGCACCTTAATAATAAACAACATGTCACGGGGACATTGAAACATTATGATCTACGCTATAATGTTGCAGTTGTTGAGATCATGGGTTCCTACAGTTCTTGTGCAGTGGATGTGGAAGAGCGTATTTCTTTCACCCCTAATATTGAGGTTTTAGCTGTAGGGCGTCTCTTTGAACGTCCAAAATTAATGGCCTCAAGAGGGGTGTTAATTGACAGAAAAAGCAAACTTGCTTGCGAAGAGCTTGGGATTTCCACTTGTAAAATCACCAAGGTATATGTATATTTTGCCTGCTTGTATGTTTCGCATGTTGCAAAATAATTATTTGTATTAGAAATATGATCAATGGATCATTGAATCTGTGTATTAATTACGCATTACCATTTTTTTGCATCCTGTTTTTCTGGTGTCACTTATGTTTTTCTTTGTTCTATAGGCTGGGATTGGAGGGCCTCTTATTGATGCTTGTGGGAATTTGATTGGCATGAATTTCTTCCATGATGAAGAAACTCCATACCTACCGAGGGAAAAAATTCAGGAAGTCTTGGGATATTTTGATGAACAATGGTATGTCTTAACATTTTTTGTAATGGTATAATGTTGAGATTTGAGGAAGCTCTTTTTGATGCCCTGAGATTTACATGTTGTACATGGTTTCTGTTCCAACAACATCCGCAGTCTTCACAATTTTCCACGCTCTTTACCATCCCAAGATTCCCAACATTAAGTAGGCATATCTTGCTTGGATATATAGTAGCCCGAAGGCTCAAGTTCTGATCTGCAGCTTACTGAGGCTATGATTCCATGGGCTTATCAATGTTTCTACTCCTATTAGCCTCCTATGTAGGAACTTGAGAACGCAAGAATAGGTAAGAACATGGAATCAGATGCCATGGTTAGTGAAATCCTATGAATCAGATGCTAGAAATCCTACAGGATTAAGTAGTCAAGAATTGATCGATTGAGATATTTGAGTGATCTACGGAACAAGTCTAGGAAATTTAAGGCCTCTTTTGGTTTAGAGGAATTTTGTAAGAATTCTAAAGGGTAGGAATTTTGTAGGGATTTTTTTTTCCTTTGGAGCCCTTTACTTTGTAAGAATAGGTTCCTATTCCTATGTAGGATAGGAATCAGTACTTCCCATTTTCAAAGGAAAGAAAACATTACTCTAGACCCAATGAAAATTTTCCTATCCTAGTGACATCTTTCCATAGGAACTGAGATACATGTCATCTCACTTATGATAGTTTTCCTATTCCTATGATATTTCCTACCCTATGAACCAAATGAGGCCTAAACGATGATTAAAGTAGAGGGACCAAGGGGGAGTAATGTTGATAAGGAAATGAAGGAACAATATCTGAAATTTTAGATCTCATTCTGAAAATCCATAGTGCTTAATTTGAAAATCCCATAAGGTTTTCTATGATACTTTTGTTAATGCTATATGTTCCCACAGGCCTAGAGTTGTGAGCTTAAAACCAAGACTACGTTTTTTTTCCCTCAAAAAGAAAAAACTTCCTACTCTACAGTATGGTTTGTTCGGAGACGTGTACTTTTTTGTGATAACATTAAGACCCCATTAAGTTGACCCCATTCAGTTATTGATATTAACATTATTTTTTTCCTTTTGATTTTGTAGCATGTCGAATGACAGTTGGTCTGAACCAAGAGATCGTTATTATATACCAGCTTTCTACTCTATACCGTATGGTTTGTTCGGAGATGAGTACTTTGATAACAAAAAGGATGCATATTCTCCGTCTCCGGTTTTGTGTTGAGACTATTTGTTGGTTGTTGTTGCTCCACTCTATGAAGTATGGACCCGCTTGTTTTTTCTTTTTGCTTGTTAGTCCTTGTGAAGTCGAGACTGCTACATATTCTGAGGCATTTGCACTTAATTGTAGCCTATGTGCTTAAAGAATCCTAAGCTAAATCCTTGTTTAGTTATGTGTTCATTTCTGCCATCCCCATTGTATCTCAGATACACATTGTTGTCTCATACTACAAACAAAATAGTCAGCACAGAAAAGTGCTTGGAGTAAAATTTAGGGCAGCAAAAAGTGATTTTCTTTTTGGCACCAAAAAATTGTACATCTTCAACAGCTGCCCTAAAGTAAATTTCTTTGGAAAATGATTAAAAACAACCTACTGATCTTTTCCTCTCCAACCTCACGTGGCTCACGTCAGGCTTCCTACCACTCCCCCAACCTTATCTTCTTTCGGAAGCTACTCCACCGATAATTCAATCTGGAGAGAGCGGCGATTTGGTGCCTGGACTCAGAGGACATGAACAGTACCATGATTTGAAAGGGGGAAAAGTTCAATTTTTTTTTGTGGTGTAGGGCAGCTGTTTTTTAGTCCCAAGAGCCTAAAAACGGTTAGGCCCTAAAATAGGGTGTTATTAGAGATGCTCTAAAGGGCGAAGCTAATGGAGAATAAAACTGTTTTCCTTTCTTTTGGACCATTTCTTTGTTTGTGCGAGAGAATGTCGCACCCTATCTGCAATCAATGCAGATTAATACTGAAAGTACCCTTGTGCACCCGAGCCGAGATGCACCCTCGTAAACAGTAAAATAAAATAAAAATAGTTAAAAAATTAAGAAAGTCTGAAACTTTTTGGAGACAAACTTTGACGAATTCTGAATATGCGTGCTAAATTTCATGAAGAAACAACATTCCCAAAATGCTTCCGTAAAAAAACAAAATTGACACTCCAAAAAGTCTCTTTCTCAGATCATCAAGTTTTTTTTTACGGTACCATTTTTTGGAATGTTTCTTAGCACGCATGTTTAGAACTCCTCAAAGTTTGTCTTCAAAAATTTCAGTTGTTTTTTATTGTTCACGAGGGTGCATATGAGCTCGGGTGCAGAAACTTCATGTTCGTATGTGTCAGCATTATGGGCTATGGCTATTCATGAGTGACACATTACTGGAGGTCTGGTGACCTAATTAATCACAAGTGCCATAAAAATGAGTGTTGTGCCTGCATCGATACATGTCTGCAAGCAATGCAATGAACACACTGCCTACCAAAAACCATCGAATCCGGAAACATTGAACTCCATGACCCCCTTGAGGCTTGAGCACCCCGATCCAGAACTCCCCCCCAAAAAAGTCGACATGCTAATGTATGAAGAGGGTGAAGAGACGTCAGCTCATTCGGTAATACCCAAATAAACAAAAGACGCGAGATCAAATAGTGTCGAGATGATAACCTGCGAGTCCCCATTTATGCTGAAGCCATCTCCCTCTTGTTCTTTTGCTTTTCCACTGGCCACAGCTTGAAGACGGGCTACGGTGCGTCAGTGGCTGCGGGCGCACTGTGAGCTGTGCGTGCTGTCTTTTTACAAGGAACCCCTGCACTTTAATTAAATGTCGCAAAAATCCCCTAGAAGTGTATAACCCTCTGATGGCTAATTCCCCTAATTCCCAAATCATGAAATGAAATCCCTAACTCTATCCACACGACGGCGGCGGCGGAATCTTCTCAGGTTCGTCGTTGCTGTTTGGCCGGCGAGCAGTGGAGACGAGGAGGCCAGAAGGCCGGCGTCATTTGTCTGCTCCCCACTTCTCCTGTGTTGTTACAGATGGTTGGCGCCGGTGACCAGAAGCTGCAGTTTACTGTTTGAACAAGCTGAACAGCTTACATGCACATACTGCAGAGTGAAATACTGCTGAACATAGCATATCATAAATTATCAAAAATATTAAGTTATAAAGTTATAAATATTATGAAAAGGTATAATAATTTTGAACACAACATATCATCAGAATTTTCATGATATAAGAATGCAAAGATATAAATTGGCCATAATGCAAAGATATAAATTAGACAGCACTACACAACACTCATCTTTTAACCCCCAAAAATGATATCAGAATGCAAAGATATAAATTAGACCGCAGTACACAACATATCATCAGAGTTTTCATGCCAAAATGAACTTCATAGCAGTACACAGCAGTACCATTGCATCACAATTTTGTCTGTGAACCAAAGCAAAATAAAAGGGTCTATGTTGTCTCTGAACCCCAACAAAAGAAGCAGTTCATTCATGAACTATAATGCAGCAGAAGTTCATTCATGAACTAACACTAGATATGATCTATAAGTGCAAATCAAAGGGAGAGGAAATCATGAAGATCATCTGCAGCAATATTCAGTGATCTGTGCTGCAGAAATATTCAGATGACTATGCTGCACCAATATTCAGTGATCTGTACTATTCAATACAACAAAATATCAGTTAACTATGAAGAACAATTTAGTTATCTACTTTACATACACTGCACACAATCACTACATCTCTAATGCATTGCACTTGCACACACTCAGCACATATATTCAGTTCAGTGCAGCGCACACATTCAGTACATCACCTGTCACGAAAATTCAGTTAACTATACAATCAGGTGTCACCAAAATTCAGTTAACTGTACATTATCTGTCCCAAAATTCAGTTACAAATCTTTCTAATTTTTAGTTCGAACAATCTCCAGATTCAAGCAGAAATGACCAACAAGGCAAATGGTCACATCTGAGCAATATTATAGGATAATTTGTTGCGCACACAAGCATGACCAACTACTTTGACAGGAAGAGGCGCCTACTTTCAAAACCCCCAAATAAACCATAGCAAAATTCAGGAACAATGTCCCCATATCTACTCCGCAACAATCCACATACACAATATCTCGCATGGCATGGACGAAAGATGAAGATCAAGCACACCAGAAAATTACTCTCACTCCGGCAAACCCTACACGATGTCATGGACGAGGAAGAGATACTCGTCATGAAGGAAAACAGGGAGGGTGCAAGTTACCATACGAAGGAGCTGCTTCGTCTGGACGACGACAACGCGGGTCGTCCATTGCCTCTGACGCCGGTCGCCGTACCACACGACCTCCGCCACCGCAGCCTCGGATTGATTGCGAACCGTGCGAAAGAGAAAGCAGAGACGAGGAAACGAAGCGGCGAGGAGTTAGAATGAAAGGCCACAGCCTTCTAGGTACCTATGCGCAAACATAACACGCAATCACTTCTCGTTGTTGGAGGGACTTCTTGGGATAATTAATTAAATCCCAAGTGGTTTTCTGCAAAATAACCACAACACTAGCTCTGCCCACACTCACACCCACTGACATGTGGGCCATACACCAACTGTCAAGCCACGCGGGTGGCACATACGGTGGCATACGAGCGAAGGCATGGGATATACACCATTTGGACAAGTTATGGCACCACTTTCACGTATTTGCAACTTTAGGCACTAAACTGAACACGCCAGACAAGTTTAGCCACTTGTGGTGTATTTACCTCTAGATAAAACAATACCATGCATGTCGAATTGTCAGTCCACCACATTCTTTTTCAATCCCATTCAGCAAAGCCATTGATCATGGTTGCAATAAATAATACTAGGTACAAACAAAAAATATATATAAAGAAATAGATGGTTGTCGATAGAATGCAGCATCATAAATATCTGAGTAGACAAGCATGCTAAGGAATAATTGATTTAAGCTGCGCCACCCTCGCCCTTCATTGTCTCATCTAGAACTCCTGCTTTTTGCTCTCCAGGCTGTACCTAC